ACCATTAACTTACTGATTTTAAAATGGCTCTATATATCTATGTTTCAACAGTCTGGTAGTATTGAGATTTGTGTGTTAGTATGTTGTGTTACTCATGAGTAACTAGTTTTTTCTTGTCGTACACTGTTCTTTTACTTTAATTGATCTTAAACTGACTGTTAACTTATTGGTTTTTTTAAAATTTGATCGACCTTAGATGTGTTATTCCGGTGATTCAAACACGGTACCATAAAATAGACTTGACTGATTAATACCGGTTACATGAGATTTGATAATTGAGTTAGGGGAATTACATATATATATTTATATTGATGTGTGACTAGTGAAATTCTGATGTGATTGTTCATTGAGCCCCCAAATGCCCTGGTACGGCCGAGAGTGGGGAAAGTCAGCTCTTCTTCGAGAAACGCTCTCACATGGCCACGTGCATACATATACTTCCAGGGAAGTGCTACTCACTGCCTTCTCGTGGCATTACGGTTGTCTACGAAATTGAGGGGGACGCAAAACGAATGTTCGGCTCCTTAACCGAGTTGGTGGACACGAAGAGTCCACCTAGGGGAGTTGGAAAACCCTGATTCCAAACCAATGGTGCACATGGGCTCCAGTGTCCTGAGGAAACAAATGGCTTATGAACCAATAGTTGGTCATCGGCTCCCATGGGACTGCATCTCCTTACGATGCTCCACTGCCTTGTGTAATAGACCTTTATGTTAAAGGCTCTTGATGTGGCTCCCGAAGAAAACCACGTGCTTCGGTTTGGGCACCCGGGCAGTATCCCAGCTCTGACACAAATCGAATGAATGATTTATATGGCGCATGTCTATTTGGTGCCTCCTTGTACCAATGTTTATGTGTTTAGATAAATAAAAAAGAGCGTGATGTAATCAGTCAGTCAGTCAGTAACAACGTAGAACTTCGTACGTACGTACATCAGTTCGACTTGCCATACCAAATTAGCACAGAGATGCAGTGGTCGATTCAAATCCCGTAGTGGTAGAGGTAATAAGAGTATAAGCAGTAATCGGGAAAATTAGCCTTTGGAGATGTTATTCAAAGAGTATAATACAGTGAAATAAATTTGGGAAGGGAAAAAAAAGACAGGGAGGAATAAGGAGATCAAGATTTGGGAGAACACAAAGAGTGTATGCACCTGCGCCATTGCAAACGATTTTGAGCCATGTCATTCAGGGTCTCTAACCATCTGTTGCTATCATCTCGCGGTCCCCAACCAGGTAGTCTACACCTACCGACATGACTCAGTCCACTGTAATAGTCACTTCATTCCAGTTTTGGATTTTCATTCTGGACTCATTGATTTTGTTTGCTTATAATTAATTTTGTGAGGTAAAATTACTGTCTTGCATTTACTTGGGTTTTCTATATTTCATCTTGAATCGTGATCTAGTCTGTGTATGGGATAACGATCGTGTATCCGGTCCATTAGTAATATATACACTCAATCGCCTGTCTGAGGGCAGTTATCAATTCCCGGTTGCCCACACTGTGGAAGAGTTGTTCTGGAGGCACCTGAAAAGGAAATCGGATTGGAAGTGGTCTTAGTGACCTGGGAGCGTGACCGCAGTGCCCAAGGGACCACTGCTTGAGGTCGGTCACACACGACCATTTTATGGGCAATTTTTGTGTTAGCTCCGTACTTGTTGAGACCTTAACGCCGGAGACGGATATCCGTGGGATAAGGCGAGGTGTGCATTTTTAGGGTCGACCTTTTCTAACCCCACCCCTCCTTGTGGGAAGGCAGCATCGTTGTCATGCTGGTTTTCTGAAGGAAACACCTTACTGCTGTCACACCTCTGTACAGTGAGCAGTACGACTTCGCCTTCGGACCTTGGGTTTGTTGCTTTTAGTCTTACCGCCCTTTAGCCGACCTGTCTGACATGGTAGGACCTTGAGGAACGATTGTTCCAGCCAGTATAGATCGACTGGTTCATCGCGATAGGCGAGCCCGACCACCACTTCAAGGTAGCAACAACGGTCGGGCTTATTATCATACTATAGTAATATGTCGGTAAACACGAAAATAATTTCCATATATCAATTATGGAATATAACGATTTTATTCTTTATTTAATGATTAATATTGTTGCTTATTTATTTATTTATTCATTAATTAGACAAAGTAACAGAAAATGATCTTCATGAACTTCTTCATCGTATGATTTATGGATGCAAACCAACATTAGTCGGTTTTGGAAAAGTTGACAAGTTACCATCATTAGAAGATACTGTTTCTCTATTAAATAATGAATCATATAAAGAGAAGAAATTAAAGACAAAATATAAAATGTCTAGTATATTTAAAGGATTTATTTAATTTCATCTTTTCGCATTTTTCTCTCCATCCCTTTTTCACTTATCATATGTGTTCTCTTATATAAGAGAACCCATATGATTTGTAAATTATTCAATATAACTGAATGATGATTAGTTGTGTAAATGATTAAGTTATTGTTTTGTTTTCTTTGGGGGGGGGTTGAATGTTGTTGTTAGGTACGTGGATAAGGATTTTTTGTTAGCTGGAAATCTTAAATTTTTACACACTAAACTTTGGTTTTTTTGGGATGACTTCTGGGTCGCCATAATGTACGAAACTGTTAAACCAAATCTCCGAACAGAAATATGACAGAAGAATAAATTTACAGCTTAGTTTAGTTACAGAAATCAGCGGGTATTTAATCACCGGTTATTTTAAATTTGAAGTTCCAGATATTTATGTTAATGGCAGTTTAGATATGTAACCGTTCAGGTTACGGAGAACACATAACCAAGTTCTAGGAAGTTCTCAAGGATAACGATTGGTTCAAAAGTTTTTTAGGCAGTTTTTCTTTACCGTCTACAGATCTTGAGGTCGACTATAGACCTTAAACAGAAAAAAAATTTTGGCTTCCCAACATTCTTGTAGGCGAGACTGTTGGGATATTCAGGAAAATATCCCAAAAATTATCCTGTTAAGCCTAATGCTATCCTTGGACATGAAGTGGTATCATCTTATTGGTCAATACTTGTTTAACGTGTCATTTTCCTGTTGGCCAATATTGTACAATGTTATTTTCTATTTTATGGTACGTTGTGGTCTGCTTGATTGATATATAAACAGAGTATGTTTGAAATATAATGATTCATAACTCAGACGCTGTGACTTGCGTTCTGGACTCAACTGGCTGGGCTAGACAGGGAAGCGGGACCAATCAGAACCCTAGGCTGTTCTACGTGTTCGCGCGTCTTTGGTCCGATCAATAATTCGCTACTCTCTAATCTGCTGCCGTCACAGCTATAGCAGAGACCCCTTCCCTACTTAAGTTGGTTTGGACAGTTGGGTTGTATCATTGTTTCCCATGGACAGTTGTACATATCTGAGTGCTAATATATGAAGAACAGTAACTTGGTCACAACTTGCTCAACATAACAGCATGTTGGAGCTCGCTTATTGATTCATTTTCAAACAATCATCGCTAGCGAATGAGCTGGGGAATCTCGAAAATATTCTTATGTAAACCTTGTATACACACTGATATTTTGTTACTTACAATTTGCCTTGCACTATATTTATGTTTTGCTTTTAGAACCAGCTGAGCGGAGTAATGTGTTTAAGTTCATTAGGCCGTAGAAAAATAGTAGGGCAAATAAGGAGATTTAAAGTTAATTTCACAAATTAGCATATAGCTACATAGTTCCAAGTGCCATTCTGCATTTCATAGGGCCAAAATCCGTTCTTCACAGAATTAAAGCTATTGAGTTTTGTGCTGTAAATAAGTAAACAAAAGTATTTACTACAGCTGTAGTGCCCGCTGTCGCATAAGTCCCCTTAGTATGTAGAAAAGTGATGAGCACTGTAGGATTTAAGGCAAATTGTGCTTTACTCTATCCGAGTTCTGGGATTACTAATTACAAATACTCTTCAAATGATCTTACACATGCTTACTTGTTATATCTAGTACTGATGATCGTCATTCTATTATTCCATGTATCTCATACTTGTTGATATTTATTCTCTTCAGCAACGTGGTCATGGTTTTAAGTTCCTCAGCTGTGTACACTTGAAAAATCATGGGTAAAAATGTGATGTTTTTATCTTTCAATAAGAACCGTATTCCTGAACAAAAGAATAGTAACTATTAAACCATCTTATCAGTATCCCATTGTAAATTAATCTCAACTTTCAAACTAAACGGTTTAATGTGAATGGTGTTTAATAGTTACTCATGAATATGTTTTTAGTTTAAGGTAAAGCTATCGCTTGAAACTGCTCTAATGAAACAGCTCATTTCAAAGTTTACATTTTACTATCAGTAAGTAGATGTTACATTCATCCTTTGTAAATGTATTACCGAACAACTAGAGGTTCTTCAGTTAATTCTACAAAGGAAATGCTGTCATTAAATTTCATAAGAGAAGAGTAATTTCCAACTAGAATAGTCTTTTTAGATGTTATATTAATAAAACAAGTATGTTGATCAGTAAGAAGGAATTGAATCAAGCATTTCAAGAGGTCTATATTCCCATTTCCTCAACTCTGCACCTCTACATTACAGAATAAACCTGATCAAGACACCTAGTAAAAGAATAATAATCAAGTGCTTTAATGAAATACTCTGTGAAAGATTGGATGATTTGCCTACTTTCAACGAAAATGGAAAGTTTGTAAACGGAAATCAGAATAGATGCTTAAGCTGTGATCAAGAAATCTCTATTTATGCATTGTTATTTCGTAGATGATGTGCCCGACAGGTTGCTGATGAATGGATTAGACGAAACAGTACAAAATATACTATAGATCCATGGTTATTATTATAAAAAAGACCAGCTTCACTGGAGATTAAAAACAGCATGTAAACAGTTGCCCCTCGCCCCAGTCTACTATCGATTGATGTATGTGAACACACATACTCAGAGACTGACTAACCGCGATATACAAGTAAGGGTGGACACATGGTTAATGAAATAACATCGAAAATATATAATAAATTGTAAAAGTAATTGCACTTACGAAAATGTTATTTATTTGATATCTTGACGAAATAATATTTACAAAATTATACTACTGATTTACTTTAATAAGTAGCAAACGACGGTTACATGTAGATTTCTGAGAGAAAAACATCGAAATGTTATTTTTTATTTCAAAAATAAAAGAAGGTAATAGGAACTTTTCTATCAGTTTTTCTTACAACAACAACAAAGACAATTAACAAGACATTTACACAATCCAAATACACAACTTAATATCCAAATCAGAATTAATACACCGACAACAACACATACAGTAATGGTGATTGGTTTCCAACTAATGTAAAGAAAAAAAATTGGAAAATGTGTTGGAGTTAAAAAGATGTGCTTACACTTTAAAAGAATATTGAATTATTGATAACTAAACATAAAATAGTACTTGTACTGTCACCAAATTCGAATTAATTTAGTTCATGGTAATGTAATCACCTAAATGCCCTGGTACGGTCGAGAGTGGAAAGAGTCAGATCTCCCTCGAGAAATGCTGTCACACGGCCACGTACATACAACCACTTCAAGGGAAGTCCTACTCACTGCCATTTCTCGGCATTACTGTCGTTTACGAAATTGAGAGGACGAGAAGAGGATGAACGGTGCTGCAACGGGGTTTGTGGATATTGATGATCTAACTAAGGGAGATCGAAAACTCTGATTCCAAACCAATGCTCCACATGGTCTCCAGAACCCTCAAGAGACAAATGAATCAATTATTGGTCACTGGCTACCATGAGACAGTATCTCCTGTCGTTGCTCCACTGCCTTGTGGAACAGACCTTTAAGTTGAAGGCTCCTGATATGGCTCCATAAGAAAATCACCTGCTTCGGTTTGGGCACCCGAGCAGTATTGCAGCCCTCATATAAATCGAATGAAGAATTTATGTGGCACATATCTATTTGGTGCCTTCTTGCACTAATGTTTATGTGTTTAAATAAATAAAGATTTCAGAATGTATTGAACCTTTACAGTTCTATCAGGATCAGATTACATTGATGAATTTTTAGAGACTATCACTTATAAGAAAGCTAATAAAATTTATTTTGGTGTATTTTACAAATAACTGACTAGTTTCATGTGAAATCTCGATTAGAATCATGTAGTTTTGAATAGATGAATCTGTTTTACTGTTAGTAATGGTGTCGGTTACTATGTAAAGTCGATATAACTTATTCTGGCTTCGAGAAAGGTCAATTTATTCATTCTTCTAGAGTCATGTTTTCACATTGTTAATTATTCACTAATCAACCTTGACTATTTTTATATGAGCGTATGTGTAGGTAAACTTCTTATCCTATTCATCACATGTATGTAATTCAGTTTTATCTGGCTATAAATATTGATTAACGCTTGATAAGTTAAGAGTTGGCTCACACGCCTTCTCCACAGCGTATCATTTCGCTTTATTCCTCTGATTGTCCGTTCAAACCAATGAATGTACAGCATACATATATTCAAATATTCATTTAATTCCGTTATTCACTAACACGAGTTAAGTTGATAATTATATACGTGGATAGACAACATATGTACTTCAATAACATTTATACGCTTTAATTGGTGACCACACTAAAGTAATCAGTTCGTCAATAACATTATCTGATCTAATTGTGATGTTAAAATGAAGGGCCCCACAAATTGACATGATCATTTATAACAAATTAATCAGATATTTCAACAAACATAATGATTGAATAACAAGAAGTAAGCTATTTACCAACCTAATATATCCCTTGAATTATACTGGAATCATTCTTCATTAGAGTATTGTCAGTATAGAAAGTAAAGTCATCGAATGTTTTCAAATGGATATAATTTTATTCACTTCAATATCCATTTTTTTTATCAGAATGGGTTTTGTGGAGATTTTAGAAATTTCACAGATTGAAATCATGAGTCAGTTGAAGTCTAGCTTCAACTGACTCATGATTTCAATCTGTGAAATTTCTAAAATCTCCACAAAACCCATTCTGATAATAATAATCAACTGCTCACTAGTGACTGACTTCAGGAAAAACTCCCGAAGTTCTAGTGAGAAGCCGTTACCAGTGGAGTTGAACCAGGTCTGTTGTGAGATAGGAACTCACTGAAGACAATGGTGTACGGTGGCGCAACTTCGTGGATTGGTTGAAGTTAGACATTAACACCGTTGAATGCCGGCTCAGTGGTCTAATGGTTAAGTGCTCGCGCGCAAAGCCAGTAGGTCCTGGGTTCGAGCCCCGCGTGGTGCGGGGTCGTGGATGCGCACTGCTGAGGAGTCCCATACTAGGACGAAACGGCCGTCCAGTGCTTCCAGGTTTTCAATGGTGGTCTAGCTTCAACTGACTCATGATTTCAATCTGTGAAATCCATTTTTTTGTTACCAAATGGTATCTATTGAGTTAATTAGCTAAATGTCATATTTCAATTAGTGGTCTTCAATGATTGTTAATAGTTAGATAATGAATTAATGTTTTCTTACTATGAAGATGATAACTGATCTAAATAACAGTGGTGTATAATCATTCTTTCTAGTCAATTATTGAACGATCTTTTGGATTATAAAGAATCATCTGTGTTTCATTGAAGAATATTTAGATAGTATGAATGTTAAATTCATTTGATATTGTTTGCTTATATCTTCCGATTGTTGTTTAAGACTAAAATTGTTCAGTCTCTTATGAACATATGAGCATCGTGTGTGGATTGCCTCGATATTGTCTTAAATCACAAGTATTATAAGCAAAGATGGATAGTGGTTAGCAAACAATACCAAGTGAATTTAAACTTTACCCTAATGCACAAGCAAGTGGCTATTAGAACTCAGTATATAAGTGGATAACATGATATCATTTGAAGTGAATAATACTGGATTCGACTTCTGGAGTGAACATCAACTCTAAAATGAAGGTACATCCATCTGACAAGTCACAAAATAGAACGAAACGCACATCAATTTGGATTCCACTACTAACCACCAACTATCCTTGTTCAGAATTAATGTTCCCAGGCATTTTCAAAAAAGCACATTGGTTAAACACTTTAAACAACTTTAATTTCCCTTAATCAGTTTGGTTAATGACGTCATATCTCCTAACAGGTAAAAGTCTATCATACTTAAAGAAATGAAGTATAAAGTGGATTATTATTATTCAATGATTGACTTAAATGTGAACAAATACAATCACAAATAGTTAAGATTTCCCTTAATGAATAATAAATGTTTTGCTTACATAAGTATGAAATTCCAGTACAAAAACCTTTTTACTAATTAATTTTAAGCATATAGAATTTAGACGGTAACGTAAATGTGATCATTCAACAGCTTGTAGTGACCTACTTTTATCAAGAGAATGCGATTGGTTTAATGGAAACAATTATTATTATAACCAATTGTACCAGTGATTGTTTAAATGTACTAAAAACATCCATCCATTCTTTCATTATCCTTCCATGGATTGTGACCTTGTACGCTCTTACGTTCGCTCATTGATTCCACTTGTATTTCTTTGGCACGATCTTGGTATTTTTTTCGATACCACGAGATTGCCAACGACTATATCTCGTTACAACCTGCAACTGCCTTCTGATTTCTGGTACGCAACCTCATTGTAGTGATGTTCATAGTCAAACGCGACTCGACGCCACACTACAAGCTTAACTCTTAAAATTGAATCAAAATGTTTAGGAGATAAACTCATTGCTGAAACTCCTTTTATCCAGGCTTGAGACCGGCAGTAGCCCAAGAGGGGCTCTAGGAGGAGTTGCTAAAACTATGTACTTCATGCTAATAATTTCAAATCATCAGTAGAATTGATATTGAAAAGACAGATATAAAGGTGGAGCTCTGATGGATGATTTTGATGAAGATTTGTTCTTTGAGCTGGATGGTTTGGTCGTGGAGCTTTCATTCTTCACAGAAAAAACGCTCTTTTCTAACTGTTTTTCGATATGAACATTGATTTCATGCATGCATTGTTGATTCGTCTTATTATCAGAAAGGGGGTTATGTGGAGATCATAGCAATTTAATAGTTGAATTCATGAGTCGATTGAAGCTTGATAATAATGTGAAATCTGAAATCACTAGACGGCCATTTCGCCCTAGTATAGGAATCTTCAGCAGTGCGGATCTACAATTCATCACGTGGGACTCGAACGCAGAACCGTCCTTTTTTGAACACGAACGCTTGACCTGTGGACAACCGAACAGGCATCCAACGGTGTTAATGTTTAACTTTAACCAGTGCACCATATTGCGTGATCGTCCACCGTTGTCTTCAGTGAGTTACTATCTCACAAAAGGCTGTTTGAACTCCACTAGTTACAGCTCATTTAAACTAGGAAATACCACTCAAGACCGAAGGTCCTCGTTCCGGATCCCGCAGTTGGGTTCGTGGATGCGCAATACTGCTGAGTCCCATACTAGGACGAAACGGCCGTCCACTGCTTCCAGGTTTTCAATGGTGGTCTAGCTTTAATTGACTCATGAACTCAACTCTTAAAATTACGGTTCTGATTGTAGTGGAGTTCGTTTATTATTTTTTATAAGTTCAGACTATGATTTTGCCGACTAAAATTACTAACGAGAATTAAATAAGTTAATTAATTTTTCAATACTCTAAATATATTCAAATAATGATAAGGAAATTACTTCCTTAAATGTAATAACAATGGTGTAACGTGGATGTCGTAGATTCTATTTTTAGAAGGATCCTGTATTTCGACTGTTGAAGGGTCGTATACTAGGACGAATCATGCACATAACGCTTTATAATTTCAAATCGTATCTTAACTAATATTAATCAATATCAGAAGGGGTTTTGTGGATATTATACTGTAATTGTTAAGCGCTCGTATGAGAGACTGATAGGTCCTGGTTTTCGAATCTCGCGAGGCGGGATCATAGATTCGCACTGCTAAGGGGTCTCATACTAGAATAAAACGACCGTCCAGTGCTTCCAGGTTTTCAATGGTGGTCTAACTTCACATGATATGGTATACTAAATATTACTCACCGAATTTTCTTGCAACAATCATCTTGATTAAATACATTTTTGCAACAATAACGTTCATATAAGAAAGTTTCTCCAACATCACAACTCACATCTATTAAAATGAATAAAAAGTTTTCATTAATGTTTCCTTTTAAGTTTTATACTTAAAAATTACATAGTGATTATAAATAGAAAATCATTGAAAAACCACTGAGAATTTGATAGCTATTTCATACTGTCATGGAATTCCTTATAATACCATATGATCTTAAACCCATGATGATACTGTAAATCTCGGTGAGGGTACATGTGCAAAAAAAAATTGATTTAGTATCCGGTTGCTCATAGTTACAACTTTAATCAATTCACAATGTTGTATGATAAGCAATCATTGAAATCAAAGATAAGTATCTGTTATAATTTGTGGCCTTGTGCCCTATCAATGTACGATACCGCCAATTAGGGAATAGTGATTTATCGACTGGACTATTCATACATAAAACCCCGTACGAACAGTTCAGAGTCTTTATCAGTCTTCCTTCCCACCTAGCATTGCCTGTTGAAGTCCAGAACACCAATCTCAGCATCCGCGATGCAAATCATGTATTTCAAACAAACTTAGTTTATATATAAACCGAACAGACCATATCGTACCATAAAATAGGAAACAACATTTGTACAAGATCTACCCAAATGTGGCTGTGAATGTGGGAGACTGTCATTAATAGACTGAGCATAACTCAAGAATGGTAAATCGTATAATAATAGTTTATAGGTCAAAGTAAAGCTTGTAATAAGAGGAGTATAAATATACATAATCTAGCTACTGAAGAGTTATACATTATGAATATACGTATGATATTTGTTCATATATAATTATCAAGAGTTACCATTCATAATTCTTACCGGGATATGACATCATCTCACTTTCAAACTAGTTAAACTTCATTACTGTTGGGGATGTTAGATCCCCATAATTCACTTGGTAAATACCTTATTTTTGTAATTTCATTTTGAAAATTTGAATCTTTTGTTTTCGCGTCAAAAGCGCTCATTTTCACCTTTATGTCGTATTTCGCGCTGGGAAGAATCTTAAACGCTATTGGTTAGTTGTACCTTTTAGTATGCTATTTTTTAACGCTTCCCAAGGATAATTTTTTGATGTATATATATACGTTTGATTTGTGCCTGTTTTGATTGCTCGTGCTTCTGACTGTTTGAAGAATATATTTTCCCATTTCAGACTTGGACTTCTCTCTCTAGTTAACGGGGCTGGGATGCATCAAAATAGCTAACTTATCTGTCAATGAGTCATAGAGTCTTCGTTCCATTCTCAGACTAGGTAAACTCGTAATCGCTTCAAACATTACAATTACTTACTGCTTGCTTCTCATCTGAATATCGAGATTACTTATTAAAGTTATTCAAGTGTGAATGTGTACTTTTATGGAGCTACATAGATGAACGAAACAACCTTTCAGTACTAGATGATTTTCTATATTTGCTTAAGTCATTCCATTATATTAAAAATTCTAAGCACACATTTAAAACTATTTTTTGTTCATATCATTGTTAAGTCTGTTGCCTTGTCTGATGACGATTGTTACTATCCATATTCTTTGATGCCTTGAATTCGAAGTATGATTTCAGATGATTGAAATCCTGTTTTCATTGAATCCATGTGACTTTTCTTTTCGATGTTTACTTGTCTGATACTTTTGAAATACTGCTGATATGATATGTGGTACTTTGAAATAATGCCTTACTATTCACAAGTCGCTGATTTATTCTATTCTGACTTCATGTCTCCAAGATATGTTATCGATTTAATTTAAACAGTTACATTGGATTAAGTGAACTATCAGTAATGATAATAATAATAATCTGTTCGTCTTACAAAGAATCAATTTAATTAGTTCAGTTGGTGTTGTTTACTTGTACCTTCTGATTGTGTTTAGGACTACAACTGACCAGTTTCTTGTTCGTATATGTGCATCCCATGAGGATTGCCTCGATATTGTTTATAAAGCTTGTGACCTAAGGCAATATCGAGGCAATATGCACAGGATGCACATATGCCAATAAGAGATTGAGCGATTGCCGTTCTAAAGAACAATGGGAAGGTACAAGCAAACAATACAAGGTGAATTTAAACTTCACCTCATTGCATAAGCAGGTGGTTATCAGGATTCAGTAACTAAGTGGATAACGCGATAGTGTTTGAAGAGGACGGTACTATGTTCGAGTCCCAGAGTGAACATTAACTCTGAGGTGCAGGTACACTCAGCTGACGAGTCTCAAATTGGACGAAACGCGTGTCAAACTGCATTCCACTGCTAGTCACTATTCGTCTTTTCTTATAAATTTAATTAGTCTTCAAAACTGATCAGTTGAGGATGAATAAATTAATTTCGATACTTGGCAAATTTACCTCTTGTTAACTCGTAACATAAAATAGATAATTTACAGGGGACTAGCAAGCAACTAGAGAAAATCATTACAAGGAACAAAATGATTGTCTTGTTCACCTAAACATCTATTATTAAGGTACCATTTGAACTATACATGTTGAATATCACTTCATATCATGAAGACGATCTAGTTCAGACAAATAGACTATGTTCACGTGAAAATTCAGGATTATAGAAGCTCGGAAAGGAAATATTTTAAAATATCTATAAACCCTAACTAAATGATACATGTAATTAATAGACTTGTCGAAAAAGGCCAAATTTACAGACGAATGAAATGTGTTTAATTATTCAACACGAACGTCAAGGCAGTTCTACTGTACGGAGTTGAAACTCCAAGAACTACTACAACCATCATCAAGAAGGTACAAGTATTTATAAATAGCTGTCTATGCAAGATGCGCAACATCTATTGGCCGGATACCATCAGCAACAGCCTTTTGTGGGAGAGAACAAACCATCTTCCAGTTGAAGAGGAAATCACCAGTCTGCATCACGAAACAAGCCCTAAATTGTAATCCTGAAGGGAAGCGGGAGGGAGGAAGGCCAAAGAACACATTACGTCAGGAAATGGAAGCAGATATGAAGGGGATGAATAACAACTGGGGAGAGCTAGGAACGACTGCCAAGGACAGGGTTGGTCGGAGAGGCCTGAAGGGAGGCTTGTACTCCTCCACGAGGAGTAACAGGTGTAATAAAGTAAGTAAGAAATAAGTGTTTAAATATTAATGGAATACCACATAAGAAATTAGAAGAAGAAGAAGCTAAAGGACTTAAACAACCGTGTTTTTGTTAATAAATAATTACAATCGCCTATCCAAACAAGCTAATTTGGTAATTATTAATAGGTTCTAAGCGTTCATTTCCATTTCAGGTGCCATGATTGATTTTGTCTAGACGAAAAATGAAAACATCTCAATTGAATGATTCTACTCAAGAGAAACCATATTGTCTAAGATACTGATTTTCTCCTTATCACTGTCAGATTCGTTTAATTCCTGTTCTAGATGTATGCAATTCCATTACTTTTAATTGTCTTGTGTTAATGCACTTAAAATGTGCGAGTCTCACAATAGGACGAAACGGCCGTCCAGTGCTTTCCAGGTTTTTAATGGTGATCTAACTTCAATTGGTTCATGATCTCAATCAAAAACTTAATAATCTCCACAACCCTACACTGATAATTACCATGTGCTCACTAGTGACTAGCTTAATGAGGGAATTCTCGGAGTTCTAGTGAGAAGCCGTGACCAGTGGAGCTAATCCATGTCGGGTAGAGACAGGTATCTATTTCAATACAATGAGAGATAGTCGCGCAATTTAGTAGATTGGCTGAATTTTGGCGTTAACACCGTTGGGTGACAGCCGGTTCAGTGATCTGGAGGTTAAGCGTTGGCGCGCGAGACCGAATGACTTGGGTTCGAATCCCACGAGCGGGATCGTTGATGCGCCCTACTGAGTAGTTCCACAATATTACGAAACGGCTGTCCAGTGCTTTCCAGGTTTTCAATAGTGATCTAACATCAATTGGTTCATGATCTCAATCAAAAAAGTTAATTTTTGACTGTTTTAAATATGACTAATCTCCGTGTAGTGTTCTGTGAAATTTAGGTGCCTGTAACTTTCTAAGCGCATCCCAGAACATTACTGGGTGTGGCTTTAAAAAAGGAGAGTACAGAACAGTTTTCAATTCAATACAAGAGTACCTAGTCAACTGTCCGAGAGAGTTTTGCTTTAAAATAATCTACACAATCAAAGGGACAGGATCGAAGGAAAGCCGAATCAAAAGCTTATGTATTGCTGTAGCATTGACGAACCATCTACACACCACAGAATTCTGCGTGCATAAGCAATACTTCCAAATTGTCATCCTTCTTTAGTTCTAATTCCCTTCTGTAATATGTTTTGGGTTTTGTTCTTTAAATATAGTAGTTTGTAACTTTAAACCGTAATCATTTATGATTATTATTCAGTTTTTATTATTATGACCTTACTGTTTCTCGTTCTTCTCCATATCTGTCGAACGGACAGTTATCTTTCATAATTGTGACTCTTCTAACCCCCTGATTAATATGTAACCTCATTTGATAATTAAGGTCTTGAATCCCTTTATAATGAAATCCTTTCTATCCACCTATAGACCCATACAACTATAAAGATGAATGACACAATGGGTTAGTTTAACTAAATCTGAAAGTTGTTAAATTATATATAACTAAGGTAGTAGAAAAAGAAGAAGAAGAAGAAATACATTGCTTTGTATCGGATCGGGTTTTGTGGAGTAATTTCAGTAGTTGAGATCATAAGGTCCTGGTTCGAATCCTCCGAGGCAGGTAAGTGGGTGCGCAGTGCTGAGAAGTTCCATAATAGGACAAAACGGCCGTCCAGTGCTTCCAGGTTTTCCATGGTGATCTAGCTTCAATTGATGCATGATCTCAACTATTAACATTGTTTTGTGTCTATCGTTTTATGATTGTAACCTTATAACTAGCAAACAATTAGCCACAAAACATGATTGTTTTAGAGAATAAGTTGTAAATAGAAACCAACTAGAATTTGTTCAAAATCTACGTAGATATCAATGTGAAAAATATAAAAAAAGGGGAACATAATTTGTGTCGTTCATTTATACTTACTTACGCCTGTTACCCTACGTTGTGGAGGTGTATAGGCCACCCATCAACAGTCTCTAATGAACTCTGTCCTGGACAATCCTTTTCAGTTGTTTCCAGTTTCTATTCATCTTTTTAATATCTGGTTTTTTTTGCTAATAGTATCCCGCTAACGAATTCAACTCACTTATATTTATCGATTATTGTTCAAACTGACATCGAAATAGCATATATTAGTAGAGATTTTAGTAGTAAGTCATATGTTGTCTAAGCAAGGAAAATCCTATAAATTTTGGACTGTTCTAAACTCACCAAATTCTTATCGTTCGTTAATTATTCATAGTCTATTACCAATACTCTGTTCATTAACACATAATGATATGAAAATACAAGTGAACATTAAATTATAAGGTAAAATCTTTGATAGTTATAAAGGGACCTCATAATAAGCAAAGATAAATGGTGATTAGCAATGAAATTTAGAACGCGCGTTTCGTCCTATTTGGAACTCATCAGCTAGATGTACTTGTATCCATATGTTCATATTGACTTAAGGAAATATCGAGACAATCCACACAGTATGCATATATACCAATAAGAGACTTATCAATTACAGTCTTAAACACCAATGAAAAAGTTCAAACAAACAATGTAAAATGAAGAAACTTCATTCATTTTATATTGATTTCTACCATTCAATAATAGAACATTACACTTTCCACTAACAGAAGAAGAAAATTAGTGATTATAAGTTACATTGTATGAACACAATAAAGTCGATTGATTATTAAATAAGCAGAAAATACCAAATATAAACAATCGAATGTAACCATTAGGCTACTACACATGAAACATTAGACTTGAGTGTTGAATATAAAAACCTATCCATTTTGATGAATTTTTGTTCCCTGAGCTAGATTTTTTGGTCGTGGAGCTTTCATCGATCTTTTGAACGACTTCAAAAGTTTACAATCACCTACACACACAGATATTAGAGATTATCAAATTTAAACTACTTAAAGATGCATAGTGGTTGGCAGTGGAATCCAATTTGACACGCGTTTCATCCTATTTGGGACTCGTCAGCCGGATGTACCTGCATCTCAGAGTTATTGTTCATTCTGAAACTCGAACACAGTACCGTTCGCTTCAAATGCCATCACGTTAACCGTTTAGCTACTGACTCCTGATGGCCACCTGCTTATATAATGGGGTGAAGTTTGAATCCACTTGGTATTGTTTTACTTGTACTTTTAGTGGACATCAACTCCGAGATGCAAGTACATCCAGCTGACGAGTCCCAAATATGACGAAACGCGCGTCAAACTGGATTGCACTGTTAGCTACTATCCATCTTTGCTTATAATGTTCAATATTTCATTAGTTAATAGTATAACTGAATTTGAGACAGGAATTCATTAAACAATAATCAAACATGCATTGTATAAATCATAATGATCATCTGATAATAGAAACCTTTCCCATGTGATTTCGTAGAAGAGAAAAGAGAAAGAAACTGTTTACAGTATGCTTTTCTTATTCAACATTCTAATTATTAGTATCCATTTAAACAAACAATGAAAAGTGGTTACAGTTACATGCAAATACAAAAAAACTATCTTCATAGTTAATTATATATTTATGTTCTTTTGTTCATCTGATGAATTATCTAAATGTAAAATGTTCTCTTGTATTACTGAACCAACGTTTAGATGGTTTCATATCCAGTTGATATTAAGTAATCTGTACTCTCTCCCTTCCTCTTTCTTCTGGTGGTTGACTGGATTATGAAGACCTTGACATCTGACGGAAAACACCACATACAATCGACAGCTCAGAATCAATTAGACGGTTTGGACTTCGCATATGACCTAGCCCTCCTATCTCATACACACGAACAGATACAGATAAAGACAGCCAGTGTAGCAGCAGTCTCTGCATCAGTAGGCCTCAACATGCACAAGGGGAAACCAAGGTCCTCAAATTCAAGGTGGAGAACAGCAATCCAATCACTCTTGATGGTGAAACTCTGGAAGATGTAGAGTCCTTCACATACCTAGGAAGCATCATCGATGAACAAGGAGGTTCAGATGCAGACGTAAAGGTGAGGATTGGGAAAGCAAGAGCCGCATTCCTTCAGTTGAAGAACATATGGAACTCAAAACAACTTTCAATCAATATCAAAGCGAGAATCTTCAATACGAATGTCAAGGCAGTTCTACTGTATGGAGCTGAAACTTGGAGAACTACAACAACCATCATCAAGAAGGCACAAGTATTTATAAATAGTTGTCTACTCAAGATACTCAACATCAATTGGCCGGATACAATCAGCAAGTCTTTTGTGGGTGAGAACAAACCAGCTTCTAGCTGAAGAGGAAATTAGGAAAAGACGATGGAAATGGATAGGACATACACTACGCAAATCGTCAAACGGCATCACGAGACAAGCACTAACTTGGAATCCTGAAGGGAAGCGAAAAAGAGGAAGGCCAAAGAACACATTGCGTCGGATAATGGAAGCAGATATGAAAAAGATGAATAACAACTGGAAGGAGCTGGAAAGGATTGCCCAGGACAGGGTTGGGTGGAGAACGCTGGTGAGCAGCATATGCTCCTTCACGAGGAGTAACAGGCGTAAGTAAGTAAGTAATTAAGTAATCTGATGAATATACGAAGTAGAAAACTATATTCATCGACAGTAAGGCATATAATTGTGACGGGGCATAGAATTGACATCAATACATCTTTTAAGACGTTATATAGCAAGTCTCAAAGACGAATTCTCAGGTTTGTAGAGATCCTGGCTATTTGTAAACTTAATATCCCCCTTATATGAACAGAAACAATTTATCGTAACGTTGAAGGCGAGACTATAATTTATGAATGAATCAATCATGTATAAGATAACAGGTCTCGGATTTTGGCGCGAAATTCACTCATCCATTTGAATAAATAGAGTTTTGGCATTATAGCTGATGTCAGTTCGTGGTCAAAACCCTAAATATCATTCCTAACCTTAACCATCAACTGTAAATCATAATTCTAATTCCTCACACAGATTTATAACCCACATTTGGTCCTAGTTATTAGGTGGTTACTCTCAAGGTCATTTTAGCGTCGCTTAAAGGTCGTCCATAAATTATAGTTTCACCGCTTTGAATTTACAGTGATTATCCTTAAGTCATTTTATGCCTTAAGGTAATGAGACAATTTTTTTAATTCTCACCATACTATGTTAACTTTCTCTCGCATTAGGTGTACCATTTTGTTTTGAGTTCCAGATGTTGTTCAATTGTAGATATGTTTCTCTTGCTCTGCCGATCCGCGCCTTTACATCTGTATCAAATCCACCGTGTTCATCAATGATGCTGCTCAGATATGTAAAGGCGTTTACATTTTGCAAAGCTTCTCCGTCAATTGTGATTCAATTGGATCAAAGGAGTATAATATTGTATTATATTCAGTTGTAGTTAGTTCATAATGAAAATTTATTTATGATTGATTAATAGTAATTTTATCATGATAATTCTTTAGGTTACCGAAATTAGATGGGACTAAAACTGTTAATTGTAACAGAGAATGTCATAATTATAAGACAAAAACCAAACTAATAAGGGGAGATTATAGTCACTATTCAAAACTTTGAAATTAATCTATATTGACATTATATGATGCAATACAAAGTACAAAGATAGTACTGTGGTGTGAGCTACTTATATCCACATAAGTAGTATATAGCGATGGTCATAAATAGAATGTATTTCAGTGGAAGATAGACAACGAAAGAACGGAAACGAAAAGCGATTGGTAATAAATATACAGGAAAAATGAAATTTAAGACAATGGACTGATATTTTCAGAAGAAACAGTCAAGCTTGAGACAATGGATTGATATTTTCCAAATGAAGTATTTTCTGTATGGTTCTCAGATTTTAGTGAGATATTCTGTAATTTGGTGTTCAGATACATTCGATTGTCCCTATTCGTGTCCTTGTTCACTACAGTACAACTGACCAATCAAAATGCTAAACTATGCAACCGAATCCTTTTTTGTGATACAAGTGTCATTCAGTAAAATAGTTGATTGAAAGATCCTCATGTCAGTAAACACATCATTTTCAAAGTAACCAATCAGGTGAATACTAAATAATCAGAAAGATTATTGCACCAAATGATATAAATTATTTTTTTGACTGAGATCATGAAATGATTGGTGATAGACCACCATTGAAAACGTGGAAGCACTAGACGTCCGTTTCTTCTTATTGTGGGACTCCTCATCAGTGTGCGTCCATGATCTCTCTCTTGGAATTCGAAACCAGAACCTTCGGTCTCACGTGAGAATCCCGCGGACAGGATTGTGGATGTGCACTGTTAAGAAGTCCCACGATGGGACGAAACAGTCGTCCAGTGCTTCCACGTTTTCAGTAGTGGTCTAACATCAATCGGTTCATGATCTCATTAAAACACTTAATAACCTGCACAACCATATACTGGTAAATTATTGTGTTTTAAGATATTCTCCTTCTTTTGAATAGTTTCTGATTTTGGCTTTTCATCTCCTATTTCGAATAGTTTCAACTATGATTACATATGATTGACTTCGTCACAGAATATATTTGCTAGGTAAGGTATTATAGAACTTTTATACTTTTGCTTGCATGCATGGATTTTAATGTAATGACGTCTCATTCTACCAGAGGATATACAAGGAGAAAGATAAGAGTGAAGGGGATGGTTAGTATGTGATAAAATAACACTTGCCAGGAGTTTGTATGACTTAAGATGTCTGTCCACAACCATATTAATTATGACCTCGAAAGATTCACCACACACCTTGCTAACTGCCTTCAGCACTCTCTGCAATACAGCAAAGTCTTTTCTCAAAAGCCCAGAAAAGAATAATGGAGAACAGTAAACAATAATAGGTAATATGCAAGAATTGACAAATTGTAAGAGTAAATGACGAGTAATCCCAAGAGCATGCAATCTCTTTATGTAGTAAGTCAGACGGAAAACCTTCTTCGATAACAATAAAACGTGAGAAGACCAAGAGAGATCAGAGGAAAAGGTAACACCATGATAATTGACCTTCAACACTGTGTTTATCAAAGAGTCTCCAATAGCACAAGCATTATGGGATCTCAAAGTAGTGTTTAGATTCCGTCCATGTCTCATGCTAAAGTTAACAGCTTGACATTTAGATAGATTAACTATAAGACCATTACCAACAGATCAACAATCAGTACGAGACAAAAACTCGTTCATTTCTATGGGATGTAAAGAGTAAGAGATAGGCATACATACAGTGAGATCATCCGCATATTTCACAAAAGTGTTTTCTGTGGAAATGGCAGACCATGCAGAAAAAAGAGGAAAGAATAGGTGAAAGAACAGCTCCTTGTGGTATATCTTCATGAGACAGTAGAAACTCTAAACACTTTCCTCCAAATACAGTGTACTATTCCCTTCCAGAGAGGTAGGAATATAATCAGTTGGTTATCCAGCTGTCAGTGTTGACGCTGATTAACTTGTTAAGTAAACGTTGTCTTGGTATAGAATCAAAAGCTGAAGTATAGTCCAGAAAAGCGCATTGAACATACTTCTTACCCTTTGATATTGATATATGCTTGTTACGGATCTTATTAGATCTCTTCACTGAATTAAATACTTCTGATGTTCTAATAAGATATATTAAATTACATCAGTATTAAACCAAACTTTGTTGAATACTTTCCAATACAACTAAATACATTATATTATACATAACTTATTTCTGTTTAGAAGAGGTAGAATGAAGTTATAAGATCCTTTTTGTTTAGCCTCATACTACTGATAATTCACAAGGTTTAATTACACAAAATAACTTGGATTTAAACATAATGATCAAATTTATAACTAAAATATATTCAAAGTTAATACCCTTGTATTGTGGCGACCTGCTTAAACATCTTAGCTACCTGTTCCTGCCATCTGGCTATTTAGCCAAGTTATCTGTTTTTGCTTGTTTGTTATAAGAGATCATTATGTCATTTAATTACATAACCTATTTAGATGAGTTTATGAAACGTTTACGACCTTTCGCTGTACAAATTACAAAAAAGCCTAATCAAAGACATCGTGGTTACTGGTAATATGCAGCGAAAAGAATGAACATTATTTAGATGTCGATTGACTCAACTGCTAACATCTAACTGACGATCCCACAATACTGAGATCATGAGCCGATTCATATTAGACCAGTGTTGGAAACCTGTCAGGCGTTTCGTCCTATTGTGGGACTTCTCAGCAGTGCACATCCACAATCCCACTTGTGGGATTTGAACCCAGGGCCTTCAGCCTCGTGTGCGAACGGTCAACCTACTAAACCACAGAGCCGGTCGGCATCCAATAGTGTTAATTTCTAACCTCTACCAATCCACGAAATTGCGCGACGATCTTCCAATGTAACGAGGTAGATACTTGTCTCTACCCAACAAGTATTAGCTCCACTGAACACGGCTTCTCGGTTCATGATCTCAATCTAAAACTTAATAATCTCCACAACCTTTATACTGATGATCAGTCAATATGTTATCATTAGGATCAGCCAAGAAATAAGAAACGAAAACTCTCTGAAATACTTTACATTGAGAATTCTATATTGTACCAAAAACTATGATATTGAATAAAGCTAATAATAATAAGTAGTCTATCTAATTAGTAGTATCATGCTTTTCATTAAAATAAACAAATCCCAGAATATAAAATCTTTAATATTGAAATGAATATACTATTGAATATTCATTATTCTTATGAATTTAATTGTCCAGTGGATTAGATTGTCCAAATAGCTTTTACTTTAAAAGAAATGTCTCATTCATAAATAAGAAATGGATAAATTCTAATTTAATTATTCTATAGTAATTCTCTTTCTTCTTCTTCTTCTTCTAGTTGTTGTTGTACAATGGAGAAAATTCAACTAATCACTAAGAGAGTGTCTTGTTAAACCTTCTATTATTTAATATGTAGTGTTGGTTACTATGTTAAGCCCACATAACTTATTCTAGCTTCAGGACGGACCAATTTATTCATTCTTCTTGAGTCACGTTTTCACTTTTTTTTAATTATTCATTTATCTAACCTGACTGTTTTTATTTATGAGCGTATGTGCTGCGCAGGTACACTCGTTATCCTATTCATTACATATCTGTATCTTATTTTGATTAAATGGAATTGGTTAACAGGCCATCTCGACTGTGAGTTATTTCGCTTCGCTCTCTTCTCTTTCCTTCGTTTCTTCATTCGTTTGTGTATATGTACAAGATATAGGTATTCGAAATCCATTCTCGTATTTGGTTTATTTAATTCCGTTATTTAAGAACGCGATTTAAGTCGATAATTATATGTACAAGAATAGCTTGGATGTATACTTCAATAGCGACCATTCATACAATCTAATTGAAGTCAGATTTACAGCTACGAAATACATTATGATATATTTCTTGTGCTTTGAAAAAAAAACGGCCATAAGTACAATAGTCAATTGGAAAACTTTAGATACCAACTGACTAATCTAAAGATAATTTAATTCTATTTACGTTTTTTGAGTATAATATAAATAAGAAGTTTATTAGTTGTGTGGTGTGTGTACTACTGATGTCGATAGATATAAGTAGTATGTATCACCGATCGATACTGAAATGCTTAGTGAAAGGAAGTTAAGCAGATCAAAGAAGAGAGAACGTGAACAAAGAATGATTTCTGTAGAAATGAAGAAATAATGAAGTCTCAACCATTATACAAATGAATTATTTACTGTATGGTTTTCAGATTTTACTAAGATGTTCTGTCATGCTGTATACAAGTACATTCGATTGTCTCCATTTGTGTTCTCGTCCAAATTATTAAAAAATTTATTTTGTAAAGAATTTTTCGACAATCAGTATCAAGAAAGCTTCCAGTTAGTTTAGCTACTTTTATCTATCTTCCATTATATTGAAAAGTTATATATTCGTCTATCGATTTTTCCAAGGTATAAATAATGAGAAAGATCATTCAAACAGCATTTTCCAAAGAACTTGAGGCTGCGAGAGACTAGGGCTCTCAACAGTACAATAACCCGGCATTTACTTGACACCAGGGCATACCATCGACATCCCGTATGCTTTTAAAATTATCAACAGACAAAGAAGTACGACGGCTTTCCGTTTCGCTGAAGCGGATTTATGTATTCAAAAAGAGACATTAATAAACTTATTATTACCCTGGTAATCCATTTTTTGGTTATTCGAGTTATTTTATTCATTTATTTATTTTAAATTATTTATTTTGTGTTATATTCCCTCCCCCCCGCATTACCGAATTCTTAAACCAACTTTTCATTCACACATTTCCGCCAACTGATCCCCTGGAATTTTGTTAACTTTTCAAATTCTATTTCATTATTACGTAACCTGTCTTATCATTGTTTTAATTCCATGAATCCTTCACTACCTCTAAAATGATCACACAATTTATGAACTCCACTCAACTATTACGCCACCCATCCTGAATTATTTCCTTATTTCTAACACCAATTAACCTCTGACCTGTTCTTGTCATTCCTGTTATTTACATTCATTTATGTCAATTGTTTCATAATATTTCTTATCTCCATGTGAAATTCCATTACATATCAGTGATTGTAAGTAACTGACGAGAAACCTCGAAATTTAATGAACTCATACTATTCTGCATCGATATTTGTTCTTGCTTTATTCAAATTCATAAAGGGAACTAAAAGCACGAAATGTTTTCATTTCATTCTTTCTATATTTAATATCGTAATAATTTGTAACCGCTGATATGGGAAAACATGGAAATATTTACAGGCTATCATTCATCATTTATCAGTTCAAACTGATCTATAAAAAGTAGTTAGATGAATTAAGAATGTTTTTGTGCATTCAAAAAAATAGGTAACCTAAACTTTGGTCTTAATTTTTAACGCTTAGTTTTTCTAATTAGTCATCAAGACAATGTTCAGAAACCACTAAAGGTGACATTGTCGAATCATAGAAACGATGAGAATCGTTTATATATTTTAAAAAAATTTTGTATTCAAATACACTGGATTGTCCTCACTTGTATGTTCTAGTTCACTACATTAGCACAAAATGGTTTCCTAGTTCCTTCTAGTTTTTAATGCAAGTTAATGTCACTTCTTAATGTAAACTATGAATTAAAGTGAATTCGGTAAGGATTTCTTTTAGACTTAACAATTAATAACCAGTAAATAAAAACATTCCTAGAGACTATAGTTTATGGACGAACCAATCAGATAGGTATAAGATAACAGGTCACCGATTTTGGCGTAAAATTCACTCATTTATTTGGTTAAATAAAGTTTTAGTATGATGATACCCCCCCCCCCCCGAATTCTAATTCATAACCTTAATTATCAACTGTAAATCATAATTCTAATTCCTTACACAGGTTGATAATCCTCATTTAATCCTACTTATTAGATGAACACTCGTAAGATCACTTAAGCATCTTTCAAAGTTCGTCCATAAATTATAGTTTCATCAAACATTCCTTAAAATATTTATGAAATAAACTATACAAGATAAAAATTGTTTGTACGAAAATTTTTTTGTTTTTTTATTTAAAAAAGAAGCGGGAACTTTGAAACTTACTTCCACACTGATTTTTTTCCGCATTATATCCATATATAAGTAAACTGATCAATATTATTATTGTCCAAATAATAAATTTCATGTTCATGTTAAAGAATAAATAAACAAAACAAGATAGAAATTAAATAAATATTGAATCACTAATTTAGCTTCACTATTTATATTATTTTTAAGCTTTAGTTGACCAATCAGATTTGTCGTTGCACACTGTCATTTGATTGGTTTATTTAATTCAAAGAAATAGTGCGCAATTTACAAATAATCAATAAATGATTTTAATTTTTTTTTTAAAAAATTATTTTATGCATGATTGATTGTTTATGTTTGTTTGTTTTTTAAAAAAGAATCATGGATAAATGTGAATATGTAGCCTCAGTAATTAACTTCTATATCATAGATGATCATGTGAATAGAATTTTAAGCGTAACTTAATCACCAAAGGAAAAATGTTCACTTATCCATTTGACAATGTAATACAGTATACTGATTGACGTTGATATTATAAACAATAAGACTTAAACATCTACTAACAAATTAGTCAACGTATATATATATATATATATATATATATATATATATATATATATATATATATATATATAAGACAACACATTTATAAGGCTATAAGTTTGTTTGTTTGTTTGGTTTTTCATCAACATAGTTAAAAACATCAGCTGATATTTCCTTCTGTTCTCTTTTCATCTAAAAAATATTGCTGTAGGATACCTACAAACAGTTTCAGTTTCAGTTAGGAAAGTACATGAGGCTTTATGGCTTATGTTAGCAAGGGCAATGATGGTCTCTCAGTTGATCCAATCATCTTTTGAAAGAGTCGACAGATTGAACTTCAATCACGTCATGAAGTAATGAATTTTAATCGTTGGTGATTCGATAAGAAAGTGAATAGTCAATTGACAAGTAATTTGTTCTAAGTTTGTGAACGTTCTTGGAATGTCCTCGTAAATTCTCTGTTTTGAAAAACAAGAAAAATGAGAACAATATCAGATGCAAATTTATCACTAACTAATTTGAAAACTAATCAAATCACTTTTAGTTCTTCGATATGATAACAGGAATAGGTTTAGCATAGCCAGTAGAGCTTCGCTATTCCGGGAATCATTTTAGTTGCGGTTCTTTGAACCTTTATCAACAGTACACTGTCTATTTTTAAACAGAGGCTAGCTTTTTGTATGCAGTACTGTACAATTCTGCAATACTATATACAATGCCAAGAAAGTTTTAGCGTCGACATGGTCAAACGCTCTACGTATTTACCATAGCGTTTTAAATCCTTTGGCGGCTACTGCACAGCAGGATGCAGTAGTTTTTAAGTCTTGGCTAACGATGAATTCTAAGTCATTGTGTATCTTGACAACAGGCAACTCACTATTCTCCACTATGTATGTATTTTTACCTTGATGACCAATTTACGTCGCCATGCACTTGGAAGCATTTATCAATTTGTTTATAAATTAAAGTCCATCAGTTAAATGCTAATATACAGTACCGATTGATGACGTTAGAAAAATGAAGTATGATCAATTAGTTTTCTTGATTCATTCAACATACTATTGATCTGATCATTCATATAAGCTTAAATGGGTTCAACATATCAGCTGATGCTTTTCAATATACATTAAAAATGTATTTAATTTAGAATAAAAGCATAATTTGACATTTTAAAACTTTGACTAATTCAATGTACTGAGTACAATCACTTTCTTCACAAGTAGTATATGACAATAGTTCGGAGAAAAAAAAAACATTTTAAAGTGTATCACTCGTTCGTTAATCATCTTCCTTTATTAGGTATGTTTTCTTGGTACAACGTCATTTGTGAATGTGTTTCTATGAAATAACAATCATCTCTGATTCATAAATATATGCAATTCAGATAATTGTCTTCTTGAAATTGGAATAGTTGGGATCATGACCCAATTAAAGCTAGATGAAAATGTAAAACCTGGAAGCACTGGACGGCCTTTTAATCCTATTATGCGCCTCCACGACCCCGCCTCATGGGATACAGTCTCGCGCGCTAGCGCTTAACCACTAGACCACAGAGCCTGTATCCAAATGTGTCAATGTAAAGATTTCATTTTTATAACTTTTAAAACTGGAGATTTGTAACTCATGTGGATGATTTCGATGAAGTTTTGCTCTCTGAGCTGGATGGTTTGATCGTGAAGCTTTCACTGTTCTTCTGAACGACATCATTACTACTACTTAAATTTTGTGCTTACGATGTCGTTCAGAAGAAAGAGGAAAGCTTTACGACCAAACCATCCAGCTCAGAGAATAAAACTCTATCGAAAACATTTAAAACTGCAACACTAATAGTTTGTTAGGAAATTGTAGGATTCATACAAAGTAATATATTTGAACTTGTCATTCAAATTGTTATCAATTATTAAATTAATCAGTTTCATTTAAAGAATTATGATTAAATTTATGATTGCCAAATTAAGATAGACGGGTCAGTTGATTGAAATGATTGATATTTAATTATCAGAATGGGTTTTGTGGAGAGTTTTAAAAATTTTCACAGGTTGAAATCATGAGTCGATTGAAGCTAGACCACTATGGAAAACCTGGAAGCACTGGATGGCCGTTTTGTCCTAGGTTTTCCATGGTGGTCTAGCTTCAATCGACTCATGATTTCAACCTGTGATATTTAATTACTTTGATATCCTCATAACTTCAAGAATTGAAATCTTAAGCCAATTCCAGTGAATTATTTCAAATAATCTTTAGTTTGATTCATTAACTTCTTTTGTATACATCAAATCTAATAGACTGGAAAGAAAAAACTGAGAATATTCATTAAGTTTTCTTTGAATACGTTTTAGAAATTCCGATTCTTCCTTTCTTTAATGAACACATAAAAAAAACATATTTTCCATGAGACAAACAGCTCAGTCGTTTATCGTAGAAAGATAGGACGTCAAATAAGTTGACTAGAATGAACGCCAGTTAGTTTTCTAGTTTTATTTCTGTTGAAACTAAGTTTGTAGACATGCAGTGAGACTATAATTTATGAATGAATCAATCATGTATAAGGTAACAGGTCTCGAATTTTGGCGCGAAATTCACTCAACCATTTGGTTAAATTAAGTTTTGGAATTATAACTTATGTCAGTTCGTGATGAAAACCCTAAATCTAATTCCCAACCTTAACTATCGACTGTAAATTATAATTCTAACTAGTTTATAACCCTCATTTAGTCCTAATAAGTAGGTGTCCATTCTCAAGATCACTTCAACGTCGCTCAAAGGTCGTCCACAAATTATAGTTTCGCCCACTTACGACATTTTTTTGACAATAAGTACAGTCTAAAATTCTTTTTTGTATGATGGATGTTAGTGGAAAACAGGATTCTTTCTTCATGCGGTTGAAGAGCTGCAAATAAAAGGAGACTTTTTTAATGCGTCTTATTACTAGCAACTCCCTGAAAATTGTTCAACTTCGAATTGACGATAATTTCAAAGCATTGATTCAGGGAACCCACTTCACACTAGATAATAATCAAATACATTCTTGTATATCAACTAACATTAAGCAATTACAAACCTTAGCAACTACGGTCAAGTATACCTGAGTGTGTTCATTTTAAACGATACACATTTAAACAAATGTTAAATACTTAAATACTTTAGAATGTTCAAAACTGGGGAAAAAATTAAGAAATCTGACAAAGAATCGATTGTCTTAAAATGATGTAATCAAATTATAAGTAGGAATCAAGCTTCATTATTATCTTCTTTTATGTAATGTATAACTAAACATTGCATCATCTCAGTACATTGCTTTGTCTTCATCCAATAGATGGAAGTTATTCCTCATACCAGCACCAAAACGTTCATTAAGTTTGGCGAAAAAGCACTTGTTATACCTGAATTTCAAATAAGAGCATTACAGCAACGATCCTATAACCAAGCCCTTTTGACTAACTTACTTAACAACAGACAATGTTATTTGAATAGTAACACTTCGCATATTTCTTTGTACTGTTATGATCAATAGATCATATGACAGACTCTAGCTGAAATGTTAATTGCTTAAATATCAGTCGATGATTCATCCCTCCTCCCTATGCATGTATGTATGTATGCATGTACTCAATCCTATTATTAGTCCTTACTTTGCCTTATTGAGCCCTTATGCGATTTGACGACTATAAATTTACCTATGTAATTGCTCGCATACACTTTATTTGTCTCTCTGCTTATAGCTTTGTGTATCTATGCTATTCTCTTAATAAACTGTGGTTGCCGCTTCTTTATGGCCTTCTGATTTCAAATGGCGTTGAGGATTTATATTATAACAGTTATCAAGGTGATCAATTAACGAAGCTAACCCACTACAATACGTAATCAATCATGAAGATAAAAGAATATCTTTATTGATTCCTACTTCTATTATAAAAAGAATAAATATCGTATGATAGATCACATTGGGGAAAAATAGTTGTCTTATAACCCATGAATGTAAAATGTATATCATTTTTGTTCTCAACAAAACTGTCCATGTACATTTGAAAGTAGAAAACGCCCCAAATTATTTATGTTATGTATTAAAACTTAGAACTAGAAAGGAAGGCCCAAGACAGAGTGAGTTGAAGAATGCTGGTCAGTGGCCTATGCTCCATTGGGACTAACAGGCGTAAGTAAATAAGTATGTAAGTGTGTTTTAAAACCCACGTATATACATTCGAACTATTGACGAGTATACATTCACACATACATCCAAACATGTATACACACATGCTTTCAGGCACTTACATAACAAAAAATATGAAGAGACATACAACTTTTAATACGTGCTTAAATCATAAATATTGAAAGGAATTTACCGTTATTATTGACAAAATTAGTTGAATAAATCAGTGTAATTGTATGTAACCAAAACAGGTTATAAATTCCGCCATATTGAATAAGGATCATCTACAGGAGAATTCTAGTTGAATTAATCTCTGTTATATCCTAATGAAGAATAAATTACGGGTAACTTCTAAGACCTAATCATGGACTAATATTAACTTTATATTCGTTTGGTATAACCATTCAATAATTAGATTATGTATATCTATATTCCCCTCATTGTCAGCTTCATTTTGACCTATAGATGAT